TGACTTACGCGAAGTAACTAGTACACCAAAGTGGATGATGTGGCAAAAATCAGAGGTCAGCGAAAATCAATATCAACAAAGATGGGCGCCATTCTGAGGGTAATGGCTCGCCAGCGCCGCAGAATATAGTAATTATGATATATAACTTACGTGGAGGAACTATCACAGCGATGTGGACTGTGCCTGCCGGAGGAGGTGAAGGGTATACTTCAATCAACGGTAGTATAGGACGGAGAGGCTCTTTATCTTTCAATCCGAGTAATATTCCTCTGAGTTCTTCGATCTCTTTTGCACCTTCGATGTTCACTCGATGTAAAGTGAGGTCGGCTGGCTTGATTCCATTTAGAAGTCGTGACCTTTCCTCTATGATTTTTGTCCTCAACTGGGCTAGTGATATTGATGGGTTCATTTTGATCTCGAATTCATTCTTTGGCTCGATATCGAGGATGCAGACGATGGTGTAGAGCTGTGGGTCAGGCTTGGACATGGGAAGCCGGACGCGGTCGAGTCTCAGATTCCTTTGTCAGTTGCCACTTATTGTAGGAGCTGACAGGAGCAGAAAGAATGACCAAAGAGATCCGTATTCCTAAACATTTTATGTGACTATACAGGTGTCATAGGTCCATTGGCCGACACTTGAGAGGCAAGACGGGCAACAACGGAGAACGTCTCAGTCAAGGTAATCGACCAACAGGAATGAAACCAAGAGCCCACCTAGACTACCCAACGTTTTTAGTGAAATCCCGTCCATTCTCCAGCGTAATCATCGATTCAGGAAAAGTTCTAATAGCTGCGCGGCGCAAACATAAAGAAAGTGATGGACCAATATACGACCCCAGTCTTAGAATTACAGCGTCCAAGATATTACGATGACGGTGATGACTGTTTTAGATAAATCTCCTCGAAGGCCTGATGGCATAGTTTGAGTGTCCACAGGCGACGGAGTAGCTGTTCAACTCTCTACGACACCTGCCCCCTCCTACCTCGAACTCATCAACAAGATACGTGTCAGTTTACATATGTCGCAGGTTCGAGGTCATGTGAAAGAATCTGGAGAGGGAGAGATCTTTGTTTCGGTAAACCATTCACTTTACATTATTTAAAATAGCCATATATCTCATAAAAATAGAATATAGAAAATTAATCATTCTAATTACTCTAAAATGTTGGAAGACGATGATGGAGTTGAGGACGACAGCTGACAGCCGGCCTCCTGTTTCGAAAGTATGCTTACTCCTCGGCATTCGCCTCTCGGGCTTCCTCCTACCATAACATGTGTGGAAGTCAACGAGAATGAACGTATCCCTATAATAGGTCTTGCCCGAGCTTCTTACTTTGCTGGGCCCAGGGAAGGGGCCACAGGGAAACAATGTCCTAGTGCTTTCAGCTGTTAGAGTCAAGAGAGTGGCAATGGAGAGGATGAGCGTAGGTATGGTCGAAGTCGATGCATTCAAGCGTATTGATGCTCCTTGAGCCTGTCGCGTACTCTACCGGGATACGTGCGGGAGACTGCCGTCGCATCGCGTCCTGTGTCAACCACGGGATTGGTCTAATTGCATCGGTGGGTGGTGTTATAGCTGCGCAGCCTCCGAACGGATGGACGCCGACGTATCCTGGGGGGACTATAAAACCCCCTAGGTCCAGTTTGGCATGTAACCATCACGAATTATTTACAACTTTCACCACTGTCCTTTACATCCATGACCGAACGACTATTAACCCTCAGAGAGATGGTCCACCTTTTGACGGTATGTCCCCACCCCTCTGATAATAATCCCTACCTGGCAGTCCAGGACGCTTGCCTTCGTTCATCGACGCTAACCTGACTCCCACAAAACAGCCGCGAAACGACCCCTACTTAGCGTATCAATTCTTTC